GCTGAATTTCCTCCTTGTTGCACATAATTCAGTACAGTAGACCCCTGATTTATGCAAATATTGCATTCTGGGGGAATTTCGTGTTGGGACAACTTTCCCCATAGGAAATAATAGAATAGTGAGGGGTTGCATACCCCAGACATACCTTAGTCATAGCTTTTTTTTAGTGGAATTGCCTTTAGGAGGCATGTCTAGTGGCACAATGATGACACAATGGAGGCACAGCTCCTCTTGATTCCACCTGCAAATCTTGCGACCATTCGTGTATATACACGAATGACACACATCTCAAGGGGCATTTCCCAGTCCGGACCCTAATAAAAAAATCACATAAACGTGAGACATGCGTGATTTCAACGTGTAAGTTGAAATCACGTAAATTGGGGGTCTACTGCACACCTGTTAGTGATAATTTTCCTTTCTGGAGATATGAGCTTACACACCTGTGAGGAAAGAGAAGAGCCCCAGAGAAGTAAATTGGTACCACCTGAATGGCAAAGAACTCCTCAGGGCTCATTCTTCACATGGTATTTCAGGAGGGGAGGGGAGGGGGAATCAGCCAGAACTCCAGGATAAAAGCAGACCTGGGACAGGCAAAAAGGGGACTCCAGAAACTAGAAGTGGCTGACTCAGGCAGAGAGATGGCAGGGATAGCTGAAGGCACTGAGAAAGCAATGAAGATCGGGTTTAAGAGAAGCAGCTCTGTGAAGGGAGCTGCTAGGAGAGAGAACCCTGAAGGAAATACCCCAGTGGGGCAGTTAGAGGGTACCGTAAAGACCCTAATAGCAGGGCTGAAGAAAAAGGGGACCATAAAGTTGGGAATATAAAGGCAAGATAAGTGCCAATTTGTTTTCATTCTCCTTTTTGTTAGAGCAAGAGGGAAGTCATCCCAGATAGATAGTGCATTTGCAACTATCGGGACAGTAGGCCAGTAAAATAACTGGCTAGGATTAGTGGCAGGACTGTGCAAGGCTCCAAGCCAGGTGAAGTACAACTGGGCCCCTCAGGACTATTGATTGGCCAGACCTAGAGACTCACAGAACATTTGTACTGCTCAGAGGCAGATTGCTGAGATGGCTGAATTAACACTCAGTGGAATGGGTGAGGGATGTAAGGGTTGGTGGAGCCCTCACTACACTAAGACAGATTTCAAGAGCGAAAGCATCAAAACCCACACACCCCGGCATTCTATTTTCTCCCATAACAACAAGTCATGGCAGGAGAGATTGTGGACACGTGGGACAGTCCAGCAAGACGTTGTGGTGGACTTTAGCCCACTAGCTGAGATGTTAAAACTGTCTTGGTGCAGAAGACAGAGTAAGAAAGAAAAAAAAAAGAAAACCGTTCAGACAAGGTGATGAGCACCAGAGATTGACAAAAAATAGAATGATAAAGACAAGCTTCTACTCCAGATAGGGGTGGTTTTTGGTGTGAAAGCCAATTCCCTGGCTAAAAAATAACAAAACCCAACAAACGGGGAGAAAAAGTTTATCGAAAAACATTCAACATGAAGATATTTTTCTACTTAAATATTGTTTGCTTGGGGCTTAGAATTATTACCTAGAATATGTGATTTGATCCCTTTTTCACCATTTCTAGGGAATATTTAACAGTGCTCAAATGCTAACTTCAGGAAAGATCTTCCCTTGTAGTTGATTTTTTTTTTATTTTCCTCCAACTAAGGCTCTATTAATATGCTATAAACCTGTGGCCTCTTCAGTCCTCCACAAAGGATCCTTCTAATCTAAACTGATACAGATTTATGCCTAATTCTTTCAAAGTAACCCTGGTTTAGAATCATAGAAAATTAGGGTTGGAAGGGACTTCAGGAGGTCAACTATAGGCAATTATAGTCTATCCACTCCTTTTTCACATGCGTGTCAAGGTTTGTTACAATGGCATTGAACATGCCATCTGTCCAGGACCATAGTCGCAGCACCCTAAGGCACAGAATTTTTAATATGGCCAGAATTTACAAGTGCTAAGTGTAGGGGTCCCTACTATCTCCAAAGACATGTCAAGACTAAAAGTGAATATTTTCATGTTCTACCACATTTTAAAAACTCCTCACATATTTCCAGAACCTCTCTGAATGCCACAACTACATTAGCATTCACACCATGGCTGCCATGCCAACCCCATGTCCTGGAGTCTATACTATTGCTTCAGGAAGCATTGGAAAACATCAAGGGTGCCCAAAGATTTTTTTTCCCTAGGGTAATTTCTTAGGGCGATGATGAAAAAGTTAAAATGATGGCAGAGTTGGCTGTTTCCTTGGCTAAGAAAAATGTTAGCTATCTTAAGTTATCTTAAGTTCTACTAACTTTGAGGTTGGCCTACTTGAGAAAGAGCTTGCCTATATTCTTACTGTTGCTGTTCTCCATTCCATTGTGGAGAGTACAGTCTGTCAGATTCCTGCTAAGGGCATCAGTGGAAGAGGGTATGGAGAGAGCATTTGGAGACATTAAGTTCTTATAATATTTTCTGGTGCAGCAGCACTTTCATTTCAGACAATCTCCATGTGCCCCAAATGTGCCTACCTCAGCAATGATGTATTTTTTTTTTAAATGTAATTGCTCATATTCTGATACCAACATTGAATGAAGCAGCTAAATGAATCAAGAGCAGTGAGAAACTACCCAAAGTTTCAAGTAGCCTCAAGGGAGACTTGTACATGTCACAGGGTTTAATCCTCATTAAATTAAATAGGTTTATACAATTTAAACATGTTTATTTTGGAGTGTCACGTCAGTGTTTGCATGTATTAGTTTTTCAAATGAATTATGCCTGGCCCCTGGCTGGCACCACAGGTGAGTGGGATGGTCCTGCACTGCCACCCTGTCTCAGGGTCCCCCACCCCATGCCCTGCCACACACCTGTGGGAGCAGGAAGCTGGCACATGGAACAAGAGGGAAAAAAGGGTGGCAGCAATTTGGAAGTGGCAGTAATTAGAAGGGATGAACTAAAAAAAGGTGCAGCACCATCTGGTGGACAAAGAGGCTCATTTACAGGTCTTTGAATGACTTTATGTTTCCACACAACAAATCCATGGATGCAAGACTTTAATTCCTGATGAGTGAAACTAAACTACATTGGAAGAGTTTTTAGTTTAATGCACCAGAAAGACTTTTAAAGCATCTGGAAATCCCACTTGTGCAAACAGTCACACCATTGCAGCACAAGAAAGGGCTAAAAAACGTGGAGTGTACAAACACTCATAACACATTTCAAATGCAACTGTGGGTGGATAGGAATCATAGAATCATAGAAAATGAGGATTGGAAGGCACCTCAGGAGGTCACATCTAATCCAACCCCCTACTCAAAACAGGACCAGCCCCAGCTACATCATCCAAGCCAAGGCTTTGTTGAGTCAGATCTTAAAAACCTACGGAAATTCTACACCGAAACCCAGAATAATGAATGTTCATCCTACTGTGATATTCTCAGCTAAGCATGATAATGAAGATGGATAAGTAACTCAAACAGGTATGAACTGCTTTATTCACCTCAAAGCTCTCTTATTCTCCTACCCTGGCATACCTGCTACTCTCTGCCAGGATAAATAGACCCACAGTATTGAAAAAAAAACTGGTAGAGTGGTTTAATCTCAAATACTAGCACATGCCATTCACAGTACCAATGGGAAGGATATTGCATTCTTAGATACCAAGTGAGAGGTAGGTTGGAGGGATCTTGTGTGTGTGTAATATGGGCTCAAAAATATCCTGAAAAGGATTCAAACTGAATTGACATAGAGGGCCTAGACAATTCCACTCTCCATATAAAGAGTCTAATTAATCCATCATATTTCAGTGTGTCTGTGGGAATGAAGCCATGCAGGCACCTCCAGCTGGCCCTCTGCACAAAAGAGCATTTTACCCACAAGGATTTCTAAACAAAGGATGGATCAAGAAGGATCACCATCCATGATTTGGGCACTGTCAGGGCTCATTCCAGCTGTCATTAATCATCATCTGGCAGGGGATGGTACTGCATGGGTAACACAGATCACTGCATGACACCTTTCTGTAATGGTAGGAAACCTGGAACCTTTATGGAGAGTCATGGACATCACACAGGATGCTTCACTATACCAGAAAATTAGCCCCAACTCTCTTGCATGGTGTAACTGCTCTTCAGCCCTCTACTACATGGTGTAACTGCTCTCTTGGTGTAACTGCTCTTCAGCTGCAAAGCCAAGAAAATACTCCTTCCTCTCCACTGCTGCCTTGTCCAACCACTTTGGGGCAGGGACTGCTTCATAATTTGTTTCACCATGCTCAACACAACTGGGACCTGATGACCCTGTGGCTTCTCACATAGCAGTACATTAGAAATAACAAGGCGCACAATAAGTAGGTGTGCGCATGTTTTACTTCCACTTTTTATGTGACTCATTGGATGGCTTGAGGCAGCTCAAATGAGCTGCCTCAAGCAGCTTAGCTCCAAATTTCTTCTGATGAAGCTGAAATAAAACTACATTATTCAGCCTGGGAATTTGAAGGGAAGTGTAATTGTGGGTGTTAACGCTAGGTAGAATATCCATAAGATCATGGAGTGTTCCATGTATAATGCAACACACAGTGAAGCAGGGATCAAACCCAGATCTTTCAGGTGATGGCTCTAATCACTAGGCTGCAGTCATGCTCCTTCCTCTTTTCTCTATGATAACATATTAACGAGGGCTCTGTCCCCTTCAGTGGTAGAGGTTCCACAAGACAGACCAGGGAGAAAAGGGAATGCAATGTTTTTACAACCTCTCGAATACTCCGAGGGTCTACCAGACTGTCATAAGTACTCTAGCACTAATATCCTACAATAGACACTTGGGGTCTTCTGGTAATGAAGGGTTTCATTCCAGACACCCCCTTTCAAGGCAGTGCAGGGGTGGAGGCGACCTGTAATCTTCCCTGACAGATTTCTGGAGTTTGGGGTATTTTTTCCACAAGGATTTCTGAACCAAAGGATGGATCCAAAAGGAAAACCAAGAGGCTGATACTGTGATGCAGCAAAGCTTTAATGTGAACAAGAAAGGGAGTGTACATATGCAGAGGGAGAAGAATTTCAACACAGGCAGCAGCCAATCTTTGCTCCAAGGGGACGACAGTGTCCATACGAAACGTTCTTCCTTCAGGCTTGTGGCTGCCAGGATTGGCAATCGTGTCAAATGGGAAAATCACGAGAGAAGCAGGACCAAGATGCAGATTCCCTTGGGTCAGACAGTGAAGGTAAAGTGGAACATGAGAAAGACACATGCGGGCTTGATTCGAGGAGATGCTGAGCGCTTACATCTCCCATGAATTAACACAGGCGCTGGAGGTGCTCAGCACTCTGGAATCCCCTTGCCCATGACCGCGCCTAGCAATCCATTTCTGGCTCTTGGTTTAATGCCTTGGCCTTGCTCTGGGCACGGCCCTGCTGAGTTTAGCATGGCCCGCAGCTTCCAGAGAGGAACCTGTTGTACCGGCGGTAAGAAAAAGGTCTGCAGTATCCAGAGCCAAATCCCGAATAGCCAGAGCCGCACAGTCCCCCATAACTGCTCAAGCTACGGGAGCCATAGCTGCCCCCATAGCTCCCATAGCCCAGACCATCCCCATAGCAAAGACCCCCACTGTAACCCAGATTGCCTCCGTAACCAAGGCCAACACCATAACCAAGGCTGCCCCCATAACCTAGATCACTCCCATATCCCAGAGATCCCCCAGAAACCAGAGCTCCCCCTGAGCCCCCAGAAACCAGAGCTCCCTCTGATCCCCCATAGCCCAGGTAGCCTCTGGGGCTGTAGCCAACTGCTGGGACCCCTGCAGAGCCCACAACGCTGTCTTGTGGGTAGTTGCTGAGGATTGGGCCTGGGATAGTGACCACAGCAGGCGGCGGCTGGATCACCACTCTGGAGGCAGGGCCCTGTCTAACGCAGAGCCCGTTCCAGCTGTCAGCAATGGGTCTTGGGCGCGCCACGGCACCTGGGGTGTAACACTCATCGTAGCAGGACATCGTGGTGGGGTGGAGGTCAGCCTGCAAGGCAGCACCGAGAAGCAGACAAAAAGGAATGAGCAAGTGCCAGGGGGAAAAAACTTGCCTAATAAGCCCATCAGCACCAGACCCACCACTGTAGTTGGAGACATGCATGGCCAGCCAGACATGCTGGTAGCAGGAGTGGCAGGAGGGGCAGCAGATTGACAAGCTCATCCCCTAGCTGATGGGGAAATCCGGACCCCCAGTGCCACTCACTGCTCTTCCAGACCCTTTACTCTCAGGCCTCTCTCAACCAGCTCCTTTCAACTCTTCCTCCAACCTCCAGCCTCCCATCTCATTTCCTTTCACACAACAAAAATCATCAGTAAACCCTCCCTTGTTCCTGACCAGATCACTGGACAGAGCTCCAGGTTCCTAAAGGGGTGCAGCTCCATGGCAGGGTCTCATGAACCTGGAGAGCATCTGATTTTTAATGAAAATTCCCTCTGAATCTAAGTCCCTCCAGCCTGATCTCTGCGCAATATCCAACCCCAATTTACACAAGGGCAAACAGTGCCCAGATGTCTACTAGCTTCGCCCACCCCAGCAACAAGCGTGCAGCCTGCAGCTCCCAAGTGCAAAAGGAGTCTTAGTGGAAAGAAATGGCCCGTGCCAAAATCGACTCTACTCACAGCACCTTCGAGTACTAGTCCCCCAAGCAAGGAAGAGCCCGAGTGGAATCAGACTCACCCAGTTCACCAAGGAGAGTCAGGAAAGAGAAGCGGATGCAGGAGCCCAGGGTAGTGAGTGCTTTTATACACATCTCTGACCACTCACAGGAGCTGAGGACTCTTTTTTGCCTGAGGTCTTAATTAGCTGTAAAACCAATGGGTTGGAGGACAACTGAATTCTGCCTGCGAAGCAGTGCCACTCCCAGGCATTTAGGAAGGGTGTGGTGTGATGCCAACGACCAGTCAGTCGTCAGCATCCTTCCAGGGCATGCAGGGATACTTGAATAAGGCCTCAAGGTCATCCATAGCTTTATGGATACAAAAGGCACATATCCTTCAGGCCCCACTTGTGCCAACCAAAAGGGACTTAAAATGAAATATAAATGGTGCATAGGCCGTTGTTGGAGCCCTAAGCACTGGATGCACTTCATTCAGTGGTGATGAGAAACCCTGGTCCAGAGGAAAGTTTCTGCAGTGACCATAGTGTTTCAATCCTGGGCTCAGAGCAGTCACCAAAGCCAGCAGGAGAGGGCTCACCTTCCATGGGCTTGCCTCTGACTTGCCCTGGAAGGAACGAGCAGGGGGAAGGAAACAGAAGGGAGTTCTATCAAAAATGTCACATATAAATTACACTAATACGGGCTTTGACCATTGCTTTTGGAGGGGTCCGCCATACCCTGTTTGAGACATCTATGCCAGCATCGCTGTTTTTTTTTTAATGTGCTATTCCAGTTAAGTTTCTAGTACTAGGAAGGAAGGATAGAAGGAAACATTCAAGTATCCTTAAGACTCTTGATTATAGGTCTAGGGTCATAGGAATCATCAACATGGCCAGAGTTGCTTCAAAAGAATTGTCTTTGGAAATACTTAGAAAATAGCATCCTTTGGTGGTGTGGATGGGAGTAGCATAAGGCACATAAGAAGGGCAAACTATAAAATAGATTAATAGATTGAAATCAGAGAAACTGAATGCAACTTGCTTTCTCTTTCCCCTTTGAGATGCCTGCTTTGAGTGAAATATTGGTCTAGCCGAACAATAAGCCACTTCGGGGCTGATTGGAAGAAGCAAGGTGTAGATGGTAATAGATTTAAAGGGGAATGGCTGAGCAGGGTTCTGGATGTTTCCAAGCTCATCCAGGGAGTCTATTCATAACCCCAGCTCCAAAAGTTTCAAAATGATGAACAATTTCATTGGTGTCTCACCTGGAGAACTCTAAGGTCAGTACTGAGCACCTGTCTTCTGAAAAAGAACAAAAGGGGGGGTGGGGAAGGGGAAAGAACAGGGAAAACCCAAAAAAAGGAACAACAGATAAAAAAGCCCTCAGGAGAGATAAAGGAGAAAAAATGTGATAACTCTGCAGGTCAACTTGTTTATGAATCTGTTGCATGTCTATTAAAAATGTTGCAATCTTTAAACCATTAAATTATGCCTCAATTATGAGGTGCCTGTTTTGTGCCTTTGAAGTGTCTTTGGAAAATTCCTCAGGCCTGAACACTTAACACATCAGGGATGCTCTGACACTTCTTGAGGAGAAGGACTTTTAAACTGCTTCATAAACATTCATTAATGGTTCCTGGTTGTATTATTCTTATATTAAATGTTCGCGTCTGGATTTAAAACCCACAATATTATGCAATGGTATCACTTTACAGTGTGCGTGTCAAGGTCACTCCAGTCATTGGATTGAGTTTGGATGCCTGAAGGAAGGGGGAAGGAAGGACGATCAGAGGGTGAAGTCTTGATACTTGGATAAGTTAAAATAGTTATTCAGAAGCAACTACAAGGATTCGGGGCTCCTGACTTGAGACGCATGGATGTGGCCTGGTTTTCAGAGGAGATGGGGGCTCAGCACTCTTGGTTTAAAAGCAGACCTCAACTTTTTTGATTTCACAGTTACAAACCCTTTAAAATCCAGTGGGTCTCCGGATGGAAACCCAAGTTGCTAAGCTGTCTTGAAAACCCGTCTTCATTTTTCCATGCCTCCTGCTTTAACTCCCCAGACTATCCATCATCTTGCTGCCTCTACCTATCAGATCTAAATCCATAAGGGTGTTGGAAATAACTGAGAGTCAAAGAAATCTTGACTTTAGGTAGGCAACTTACTAAATAAATGCACAGACATTCCTTTCAAGAGCCAGGCCAGTCTTTTAAAACACAGAACAAGTCGAAACAAGTCACTGATACAGTTCGTCGGAAAACATGATTTACCATGAAGAGAGAAACACTCATCCAATGCAAACTGCCAGAGTATCAGTAGGTGCATCTACATGAGACGCAAAATGCACAGTAGACTTATTCTACCGCATATTACGTGTTATAGCAAAAGCCGTGCTAATGCGCAGTAGAATTAGTCAACTGTGCATTAGCATCACTAAAAAGGCATGTGCTGGTGCTACTGTGCAGTAGTGCTATTGAGTTAGTACGGCAGTTATTCCAAGTACTAAACGTATTTATTCCAGTTACTAAATTTAATGCGCAGTAACTATGGTGCATTAATGCATGTACAGATGTGCCCATGGAAGAAAGGCAGATTTTTACCAGCTGAGGATATGACCCGTAATCCTTACAAGGGCTGTTAAAAGAAATAAAGAATTACACTGTTAATAAACAACAAATAATTGTGAATTGCAGCGTTATAAATCATAACCAGATTACGGAAATGACCTTGATTTAATATATTAAGGTGATACTTTCATAACACAGGGCTGTCTAACTCCAGGTGCATATTTCTAATATAACAACAGCTTAACACTGCATTTACAAAGCACTAATGAGCATTCACTAATGAAGTGATTTTAAAGTTCTTATCCTCAAGAAGCATCAGGACATACCTGATAAGATTAGTGCCCAGGAGAATCCCGAAGGCACCAATAATGTTCAAAAAGGCACATCATGATTTAGAGATCACTTACAACAGGTGAGTTTCAGCAGTGCTGCCCCTAACAACTATGAAACAGGTAAATGTATAAATAAATGAAGGAGGCTGCACTCTGATTGATCTTCTACATTTCTTTCTTGAGGGTGTTGCCCCACTTAATTTTTTACAATTTCCTCACTTTTCCCGATTTTAGGGACAAGCTCAACACAGTCTCAGCGGGAGAGATGCAAACCAAACCAACCAAAAACTCCAAACCACAGAGCACTACTTTTTGGTCTCTCTTCTTTTGAGTACACTAATCTCCATTGTGTATTCAAAAGAAGAGACACCAAAAATCACTAGACATTTAGAAACTCGTGACTTCTTGTTTAGTTATTGCCTCTTGTGATGCTCTTGGGTAAAACAACAGTTTCTTTCCTTGTTAGCATGTACACCAGCTATGTTCAGCTCAGACAGTTCAACTTAAACCCACCAACTTCCATGACAACTCAAAGTGAGGGGAACCAGTACCCAGCTTTGCTGGGCTTGCTGGAGTCTTCATTAGGATTCCAGGTGTTCCTTGCAGCTTCCAAGCACTCAGAACTCAGTTTGCTCTTGGGTTGTGTGAAAAATTGCCCATTTCACACTAAGGAGCCCTTCTCATCTATCAAGTGCATAATAAATCTATTTCCCAGATTATTGGTGTCCATCTACACTGAAGCTGATTGGCTCAGATGCCTTACCTCAAATATATTAGCAGAGTATCAAAAACAGCACATATCTTGGTGTAGGCTAGTTTACTGACCTGCTGCAGGAAGTCCTCAATCTAAGTCTACCGTGATGGAGCCAAAGAGAATAAAAAGCCATTTTGGTAATTTGTCTTATACACTCTTAATTCCCTTTACAGTTTACCCTCCTTCTAAATCTCATAGTTTTCCAAACCAGGCTGCACCACTGCTGGTTGGAAATGATCCCAAAGGAAATCCTACTGAAGCCACACTGACCTTTCCTACAATTCCTACGCTTTGCCAATGCATCCTTTTGTCCTATGCTCCATTCCTAGCAATAGGCTCTTGGTTGAAATAGTGCATGTTGTTTTAAAACAGCGGTGATATGGTGGGGGTTGTCTCAACCTGGTGGCACTGGAGTCCTCCAGCAGCAATGGTCAGAGCTGGCATTCATTTGATTCCAGCACCAACATGCATGACTTCCATTTCTCTTAAGATCCCGGCTGGGATGTGACATGGGCATTGTGCTGAGAACCATGGACTGGGTGCCTTCCAGATGAACCATAAACCAGGACTACAAGTTAAGATTTGATAGGACTCCCCGCTGTTTCTTTCCCCTACTAGCACCTTCCAGGTGAAGTCAGAGGCAATCTTGCAGCAGGTCAGCCCTCTCCTGCAGGCTGTGATGGCTGCTCCAGGACCATGACTCAAAACCACTGGTAACAAAGCAAACCTTTTCCCAGACCCCTGTTTCTGATCCCAGGTAAGTAAAATGCAACCAGGGCTCTGGGCTCCAACAATATCTCATCTAAACCTTCTTTGGTTGGCTCAAGTGGGGCCTAAAGAATGCATACTCCTTCTCCTGCAGTTGTGTCGAGAGGGGTCGGAAGCCACCTTACGCAAGTGTCCCTGCATGCCCTGGAAGGATGCTGACGACTGACTGGTCGTTGGCATCACACCACACCCTTCCTAAATGCCTGGGAGTGGCACTGCTTCGCAGGCAGAATTCAGTTGTCCTCCAACCCATTGGTTTTACAGCTAATTAAGACCTCAGGCAAAAAAGAGTCCTCAGCTCCTGTGAGTGGTCAGAGATGTGTATAAAAGCACTCACTACCCTGGGCTCCTGCATCCGCTTCTCTTTCCTGACTCTCCTTGGTGAACTGGGTGAGTCTGATTCCACTCGGGCTCTTCCTTGCTTGGGGGACTAGTACTCGAAGGTGCTGTGAGTAGAGTCGATTTTGGCACGGGCCATTTCTTTCCACTAAGACTCCTTTTGCACTTGGGAGCTGCAGGCTGCACGCTTGTTGCTGGGGTGGGCGAAGCTAGTAGACATCTGGGCACTGTTTGCCCTTGTGTAAATTGGGGTTGGATATTGTGCAGAGATCAGGCTGGAGGGACTTAGATTCAGAGGGAATTTTCATTAAAAATCAGATGCTCTCCAGGTTCATGAGACCCTGCCATGGAGCTGCACCCCTTTAGGAACCTGGAGCTCTGTCCAGTGATCTGG